GGAAATGACGATCTCCGTAATCTGTCGCCGGACGGTGAGACAAACGGCTCTAAACTCTCTCTTATCCAAAATTACTTTTTGTTCGGGGTTTCTTCGTGTGTAGTACTACAATCACAGTTAAACTTTGGTTTTGATTCCGGAGCTCCGTACTCGAAATTCTGAACTTGTACCAGTAAAAACAAAACATTGTAACTTATGGGTTTTAATTTTTTTTCATAAATTTTTTTTNNNAAAAAATGTCATCAGTGGAAGCCGTAGCGCTGTAAAAAGCACGACCAATCACCTGAGCCGGCCCGTCTAAAGTAACTGGATGGCCTACCTGCCTGTCAGCCTTCCATCTGTGCACAAACTTATCCCATGCCCTCATTGGTCATGTGCGCGTTCGTGTGTGTTGGAGGAGGGGCTCTGTAAGGAAGTGGTAGATTTTTTCCGCTTGTGTATTTTCAAATTCTAGCGCACTCGAGCTGGTTTCTCCAAAATGACCCACCCCACCTTCAAGTCATTATTTACTATTACTATGGCCACAATGAGGACATACAGTCCAGAAAACATGTGAAATCCAGATTCATGCAAAAAAATAAAGTGCAACAAGCACACCAACAGTATAATTTATTCAATAAATTAACATAAACCATCATAGCAACACGTCTGTACAGCTTCATAAGATAAATACTAACTAGAGATGTCCCGATCCGATCACATGATCAGGGATCGGAGCCGATCACGTGATTTTCAAAAGATCGGAATCAGGAGAAGAAAATCGGGGATCGGGATTTTTTTTTTATTTAATTCAAAGTTACAAAACAAAAATGACCATGTTCAAGTCTTAAAGTCATCCTGAGGCTTTAGGTTTGGTTTCAAAATACACAACATCATGTATGTGTTGCTTCTTTGGGGCTTGTTTTCATAGACCTGGTTGCTTATTTCTCTCAAATCTGGCAACAGAGTGGGCAGGGCGCAGTGTCTAATTGTAGCAGTAAGCTAACGAGTACTGATAAGCTTTATTTTGTTTTGATCCAATGCTGCACAACTGAACTGATCCAATGCTGCTGTGAAAAAAAGAAGCTATATCCATGTTGGATAGAATATCCAATTTAAATAAAAAAATAACCTTAAGGGACAACTTGAATGCTTTTTTTTCTCTTAATGCATTTTATAAAGATCGGATCGGGAAAAATCGGTATCGGCAAATTGTCAAAATCAAATGATCGGAATCGGATCGGGAGCAAAAAAAGGTGATCGGGACATCCCTGATTTGAATCTACATCATACCTTGGCTGCTTTCCCCACTCGTGGCTTCAGTGGTTTGTATTCTTCGTTGGCTTGCAGTGCGACCTGAGAAAGGCAGAATAAATATAAAAATATAAATCAGACAACTTTCTGTATTCATTTTTCACAAATCTGTCATTTGCTTTGTTTCCTTTACCTCATGACAGCATCCCTCCACAGTCTCCACCTGCTCCACCTTCACTTGGGGCATGAATTCTGCAAGACTGAAGAAAATAAACAACTTTAAAACATATTCTGCAGCATTTCAAAAACACAGAAAAACACTTTTTAACAAAGATATTTAAGGGGAATTATTTATTGCAGAGCTGTTGTATTAGCTTCTATTATTTGAAGTAGTGTAGGACATTCAAATGTTAGCTTGAGCAAAAATTAGGGATGCTCCGATTAGAGGAGTATCTAAACGTGATAAAAATATACAGAATATGGATATAATGCATAATAATAAATGAATACACATGTGATGTAAGTAAAGCTCTCAAATGCAGAGGGTGAAGACGTAGAGTATTTTCCTCTGAGTAGCAGTAATGCTTTAGATCAAGGGTGTCCAAACTTTTTTCACGAGGGCCATGAACAGAAAAACATACAAAGGGCTGGGCCGCTCCCTAGAGGTATATCGCCTCATAAGTTCAGTTATAAGTTGACAAAATCAATCAAATGTAGGCACATGATGCTTGGTAGTGTTGGCAGCTCAGCCCTTAAACCAGACGCCTCAGAGTGATTATAATAAGAGGAAATAGGAAGGGTGTATTTCAAGCTTGTTATGGAAATAAGTCATTGGGCTTTTTTCTTATCAACTAAGATTTGTTAGAAAATGTTTCCAACTTGAATTGACTGAATTGAAAAGTGTTCTTATTAACACATGAATACTAGTGTGTAATATATTTGTACATATACATTTAAGAAGTACAAGATAAGACAAGCATAAGTTTCATTTGTGGGCCGTACTCCATTATACTTTTTGTATTTGCTGAGGGCCGATTCAAAATGGTCCGCAGGCCGTATTTGGCCCCCGGGCCGTAGTTTGGACACCCCTGATTTACAGAAACAAGGTGTTAAGCTGCATTTATCTCACTTCAGGTCGTTAGCACAGATGGCCTCGTGTCGAGCTTTCTTCCCGAACAGAACCTCCTCTCCTCCGTCACTGTCGGCCTCCCTCTTGACGGCAGGAGAAGCAGCTTCTTTATCAGCGCCATTTTTAGTAATAACTTTCCTGTTAAAGAGAAAAAACAAACACACATACTGTTATTAGCTGACGTGCACTTGAACACAACACGGACGAAAATTCAAACAGACATATATTCACAGTAGAAAAATACATATATCACTAGAGTATCTAAAAGTAATACATAATATAAAGAAAATACTGAATACTCTGCGATACACAACTTCACTAAGCAACCGAAATATAGAGGTGTGAAGTAACTAAGTACATTTACTCAAGTACAATTTTGAGGTACTTTACTTGAGTATTTCCATGTTCTGTGTACTTCTACTCCACTACATGTATTTAATACCTTTAGTTACTTCACAGATGTGGTTGAATGATGTGAAATATAATCAAGTGTTAAATCAGACTTTAGTTCCACCTGGAGTAAATCCACAAGCTACCCTGCAGTATACAAAGTCATTCAAACTAGCTGCAGCTTTACCAGCTTTGAGAAAACTTTCATGATCAATCATTATAAAACATATCATAAATATTATTCTGAAATGGACCAATCTGCACAATGACTACCATTTTAACTATATTTTGATGATAATACCTTTCTACTTTTACTCAAGTACAAGATCTTAGTACTTCTACTTTTACTCAAGATCTGAGTACTTCTACTTTTACTCAAGATCTGAGTACTTCTCCCACCTCTGCACATTGGATTATATAAAACATTACAGTTATATATTTTAGCATAAATATGTCATACACAAATATGGCTCAACATTTCTCCAGTATTTATTGCTTTTCTTAACGACATGAAAAGTATACAAAGCAAATTGTGCAAAGATGTTTCTGTTCATAATGCCATCACCTTTGAATGAATGTAATGAAAACTGATGTCTAAGTGCCTTTTTCTGATGTATTAGAATAATTGTTCAGTAAAGATGAGGCAAAAAAGAAGCCATGAAGCAGTTGAGCTAGCTAGACTCTTGTGACGATTAACTTATTAAATTACGTACATATGGCGTTAATGTTACACATAACAAACCAATAACAAAGCAAATACAATTTCAGAAAACCCATTACACGTGTTTAATTTCAGTTTTCATTAGCAATTAGCAACATTAGCTGGTTAGCATAGTTATTGCTACGTTCAGGATTCTCTGTACAATCTAACCTCCAGATTTCAAACGTTAAATATGCAACACAAAACAAGCCTTTACCCGATTTCTGCAGTCAGAGAAGCGGGTATCTTTTTGCTTGTGGTAGTTTGTTGTTCATCGTCAAACACGCTGAACAAACCGTCTCCAAAAGCGTCCGCCATGATTGTTAGGGGCAGAACTTCTTCCCACAATACAACACGAGGGTTCGCTCTCCAAATCCCGGGAAGTGCGCCGGAAGTCCATGCAAACATCCGTAGTGGCCAAACGGTGGTACTACAGCAGTGCTGTGTAGTGGAGAATCAGTTCAGGCAACTTTAAAGGTGGAAAAAAGGTATAAAAGTAATAAAATAAATATAAAAACAATAAAGAGCAGCAAGTATATATATACATAGCTTCAGTAGGAAGGACATGAACCACACACAATACTATGTATAACATGTTTTAGATAAGTTGGCCAAAGAAAGACAGATTTAAACTTGATATTGAAAATTCCTTTAAATATGTAATTTACAAGAAGAAAGTAAGCTATGTTTTTTTGAGTTATTCTTTAAATTATTGACAACACTGCAGCTATTAGTGTCGCTTTCTTTTCTATGTTTGTATTTTCTGTCAGTTATAATCAGCATTTATCCAGTAGGGGGCGGTGATGCAACGTTTTGAAGAGTGGGTGTGATGTCACTGCTCATTTGAAAGGAACCTCCCATATTTGGTCTTGGCATCCTGTGACAGCTCGCCCATGATGGTGTGCATGTGGAGCGCGTGGCGGCGGGGCTCCGTGTTTGCCGCGCGGCTCGCAAAAAGGAATTGGCCGTGCAGTTCTTCCGCGGGTCTTTCTGTCAGATACAGGGACTTCAGCACCAAGACGGCACCTCACATCCCCGGCATGGAGTACCAGGTTTGTTACCCTCTCTGCTACCTGTCTGTTAGCATGCCAGCTAGCCACAGACGCTAGTTGACAAGTTTTAACTTCAACTCTGACACTCTGTGACAATTATGGGATGAAAAAAAAAAATGGCTGACATGAACAAGTGGGAGAAAATAATAATGACAGTTAGCTCTGGATTGTAGAGCCGGGGGAGTAGAAGCTAACAGAGCAGCTGTGTGAGAGAGACAGCTGTGACCAACGGTTCTGTTACTGTACAACTTGTACTGAGGCAACGATCATCCAGCAGAGATAACAACAGGTTTCGTAACCCTCTGAAAACACTGGGTCCGTTCACATAGTAAACATCAGGTGGGAGTCGTACTCAGATATTGTACTTGAGTGAAAATAGAAGTACTCAGATATTGAGTAAAAGTAGAAGTACTCAGATTTTGTACTTGAGTAAAAGTAGAAGTACTACAAGATCTGACTACTTCAACTTTTACTCAAGTACAAGATCTGAGTACTTCTACTTTTACTCAAGAACAAGTTGTTCTTGAGTAAAAGTAAAAGTACTCAGATCTTGTACTTGATTAGAAGTACTCAGATCTTGTACTTGAGCAAAAGTAGAAGTACTCAGATCTTGTACTTTAGTAAAAGTAGAAGTACTCAGATCTTGTACTTGAGTAAAAGTAGAAGTACCAGAGTGTAGGAATACTCTGTTACAGTAAAAGTCCTGCATTCAAAATGTTCCTCAAGTGAAAGTATAAAAGTATTCTCATCAAAATATATTGAAAGTAGCTACAGTAAAAGTAGTCATTGTGCAGATTGGTCCATTTCAGAATAATATATATGATATGTTTTATAATGATTGATCATGAAAGTGTTCTCAAAGCTGGTAAAGGTGCAGCTAGTTTGAATGACTTTGTATACTGCAGGGTAGCTTGTGGATTTACTCCAGGTGGAACTAAAGTCTGATTTAACACTTGATTATATTTCACATCATTCAGCCACATCTGTAAAGTAACTAAAGGTATTAAATACATGTAGTGGAGTAGAAGAACACAGTAGCAGAAAGTGGAAACATTCAAGTTAAGTAAAAGGTACTTAAGTACAGAACTTTAGTAAATCTACTGAGTTACTTCACACCTCTGGTCACTGTTTTTATGTGGATAATATTGATTTGTTTCGACTCACTTGTTGCAGGAAAATTACAGTATTGTCCAACTGTAAATGCATTTTATATATGTGAATGTACGTTTTTGTAAAGTGTACATCCTTGCTAAAGTTTCAGCGTTGTTCTTAGCTGTATGAATCTGTCTCTCCTTCCTGCTTGAATTTCATTGTTGTTATTGGCAGGGCTCCTACGGTCATTAAAAACCTGGAAAAGTCATGGGAATTCAAAATGCTAATTCCAGGCCCTGGAAAACAATATTTTTCCCAAAGTTTTGGAAAAGTCATGGAAATGTAACTAAAGTTGCATCAAATACAATTTATATTTGATCTAATCGCCAAAATAGTAATACTATAATGATAATAAATACTGTATCTTATAGTAATGAAATGTAAAATGGTATTTAACTGACGAGGTGTTTTGCTGTTGAGAGATTTTAGTTGCTTTAGCGCCTGTTCCATGTTAAAATAAACCATTTTCAGTGGTACCGCTGAGAAAGAGTAATTTTTTTGGTCATGGAAAATTAGGTAAAGGTCATGGAAAAATCATTGGTGAAAAAGTGTATGAACCCTGGATTGGGTATTTCTGTCATTGTAAACCAACCAATGTGTTGCTCCGCCTGACTGAATACTGGCTTCCCTGCCCTCAAACTCTTTGGTTAAACAATATGTAAATGGTTCATTATTACAATAAAATAGGAGGGTATTAAATATAAATGGGTTCAATTGAGTATTTGGTGCAGCAGGATAATGAAATATGCTTCCTTCCTAAACTCCTTCACGCACAGCAGCTGTGAAATAGTGAATGCTAGAAATGATTAATGTTCTGTTGATAGACTGAATGCTAGAGGTATTTCATCACTGGACACATCCGGGTTCAGCTTTGAGTCAATGTTTTTATCATTCCTTGTGATATTGATCTGTGGGTCTTCTCTCCAACTGATGAAAGGCCTGAACTTCAGTGATAAGATCAAACAGTCAGTCACGAGACCCTGACTCCTAAACATGTCGCTCCTCTTGAACATGAGAAAGTCAAATGAACAGGGTCACATGGGTTTTCCTGCCATCCTGGAAAGACCTAATTGAATATGTTTGCGTTAGGTCTTTCAAGGCGAGTAGACTTCTTTTGTTTCTTACATCTGTGATTTTACTGCATGGAACAAGTGTTTTTCTACAGCTTTAAAGGGGACCTATCATGCAAAATGCACTTTCTGATGTATTTTATAACTAACCATGTGTCCCCGGTGTGTCGGGGAACTCACGCAGCGTCAGAAAAATAAAACCCTCTCTCTTTTCCTCCGTACCCAAATCTCTAAAAACGGGGAACAAGGAGCTGATCCAGATTTGCGTCCGATATGACGTAATATCTGAAATGTGGACCCACGGCCCTATCAGAAACGTTGCTATCAGAAACAATGCCTGACTGTTTTGGACGTAATATGGTCGGTGTTTACATTAGCATCGCTAACACTCAGAGCTAACCTGTACTGGAGAGCATGTGTGTGAAGAAGCAGGAAGTAAAAAGGAACTCACCTTGTGGTATAACCGGCAAGAGAGAAAGCCTTTGAGCTCCATACTGTTTCAGAGATAATCCTTGATAATCCATGACATGGCGTTTCATCACGGCAGCATTTAGTTTAGACAGTAGCTGCCGGGTCCCGCATGAGCTCAGACCCCTACTTTTTTATTTAATCAATTTTTTTAAAGCTTTATATCCCAAATCAGCACTTTAGAATCAGGAAGTGAAATAGAGGGATATGAGGCATGGCTAGAATGGGTGATCTGTTTGGTATTTGGAGCAAAACCCTTCATAGACATGTTTTTTATATATTTATATATATCTGAGACCTATGCTATTGTCCTAAATAGCATGACAGGTGACCTTTTAAAATCAAAACTTCTCCACCAGCATAAGATCTGCTCAACGATTGTTGGTCAACCCTGCGAGAAACCACATATTAACATCGTCTCCGACCCCAAGCATTTCCTGAACGGTGAATATGTTCGGAGATACAAGGTCCCGTAATAAAGTATGACTGAAGCACTCATTTATCGCACCAGTCAATCCTCACATTAAATACAGATCTGAATCCCAGGTGAAATGTACGTTGGAGGGTCTCTGAGCATGTTTTTCTTCAGAATCAGAAACGGGTTTATCACCGGGTGGGTTGACACAAACGAGGAGTTTATTGGTGTTTTGGTGCATACACACAAATAAAACAAAAATGAAAAACACAGATGGAAAACTATTTGATGAAAAGCATAATAACAAAACAAATATAGCAGTATCATTGAACAGGATTGGCATCGTAGAAATCAGGGATTGTCATGCTGTGTTAAATGTTAGTTTATCCTTGTATTGTGTTTCATTTATTATTATTATTTGTTTGATGTTGTCAAATTTCAGACGATAAGTTATAATCGTATCGTAGCAATAAGTCATTAAACTGTGAGTTCGGTGTCGTGTTAATCATATAATCATTTAAAAAAATTTGCCTTTACTCTGTTAACTTCTGTTTTTAGTCTGTGTTTAACAGAGACATGTGTTAAGGGTTTACCTCTCAGGAGGGCAAAGGAAGTTAAAGGAGGATTTACAAATGGTTGAGGACTGGGGGGTTAGATGAAGGGATGGAGGACCAGCTGTTTCCTCTGAGGATGAAGCTGCTCTGTTCCTGCATTTCAGATCCATTTCTTTCTTTCAGATCCATTATTAAATATAACAAAAGACAAACTTTGTCCATGAAGCATTTATCAGTTTCTCTGAAGAATCCTCCACACGTCCGATCTGCCTGCGCTGTGTTGATCATGGGATTTTGATTCTAAAACCCTTTGCTTTGTGTTGCAGGACGCCATCTGCACGCTGAACACGTTACAGACCAACGCCAGCGCTCTGGAGCAGGTTCGCAGAGAGAGGTGTCTTCCTCAACTCCAGCTGCAGGCCATGAGAGGCTTCCTGGAGAGAGCCGGACTCACTGTGAGACACACACACACACACACTGAGACACACACACACACACAAACACTGAGACACACACACAGTCACACACAGTCAAACAAACACACACACACACACACACACACACACACTGAGACACACACACTGAGACACACACACACACACACACACTGAGACACACACAGAGCGAGACAGACACACACATAAAGAGAT